TGCCAGCAGAGATGCTGGTGAGAGCAGGTGTGCTCCCAAGGTTGTATCAGTCATAATCACAGCAGCACTGTATGGAAGAGCCGAACTGGAAATGGTCCAAGCATCATGGGTAGAATTATTAGACAATGAAATATTACAGCTCAATGGAAACATGCAAACCACCACTACTTGCAACATACCTAAATGCCATGGACACAATGGTCCATGCATAAAAGATGTTAGATGTAAGGATAACAGATGTCAGGGAGGGGTGGGTAGTGACTGGGGAGGTTTGTGGGAGGACTTCCAAGGTCCACATAGTGTCTATTTCTTCATTGGGAAGACAGTTATATGAGTTTGTTTTCTGATAATCCATTAAGCTTTTCATTTATTGGCTTAGTTACTTCTCTTTCATTGCTGAGACAAAATACCTGGCAACAAAATTAAGGAAGGAAAGGTTTATTTAGCTCAGTTTGTGGAGGCTTCAGTCCATAATCAGTTGGCTCCAGGTAGGGTAGCATTGCACAGGGATAACTGTTTATGGCGGCCAATGACAGCAAAAGCAGCAAGAGCAAAAGGGGAGAAGCATGAAAGCAGACTCTTTCTGTCCCTTATATTGTATGCAGGCTGCCCAACCCAGGGCAGGTGTAGCACCCATACCCATAATCCCAACATTGGACCATGAATCAATCACAAACTCTAGAACCACCCCCCCACACACCAAGACTGCAAGGCTTTGGAGGGACATCTAGACAGAAACCATAATACTTATGTTCTGTTTATCTTCTGTATATGTCTTATATTTCACCATTAATATAGCATAAAAAGGAATCCCAGTCTGGCACATTCCCACTAGAGAACAGCTCAAGAAAATAAGGCTAAGGGATGCCTGCCAGAAAGCAGATACTGATGGCAAGGATTTGGACAACTGCTGGCTGAAACTCAGCAAATCTCAAATCATAGGAAAAGATCTGGCAGTTAAGGATTGATGAGCAGTTAAAATTCCCTAGAAGAACCACCCTAGATGGAAAGAAAAATGAACTTGATATCATCTCTGTCTTATCAAATTTGGCATTGACTTATACTTTTATCTTAATTTCAAAACCACACACCAATTCTGAAATTTATAGAGAGCTCAAATTCTTATACCATTCAAGTTTCCATTACTGGGCAATTTTAGACTTGTAGGGAGGCATAAGAGATCATTCAATCCAATCTCCACCTCCAGTCAAATAAACAAATAAGCAAAAATATTATTTCAAAGTTTCCACTGCAAATACACTCTGGAATGTTGCTCCTTAGTAACTCACTCTAGTAACAATAATTTTGACTAAGACAGAGTCTCTCCTTTGTTGGCATCGTAGGCCTTCCTTTAAAATCTGATAAAACCAAGATCATGTGGATGACATCAAAGTCTGTTGCCAACACTAGCAGTAGCCTGGCCCCCTTGGACCACGGCTATAGCAATCCCTGAGTGCCCAGAAGGCTGAGCACTGTAAAATGAATCCCAAGGAAACAATTCCCTAGGAAGCCATTCTCGAGCAGCAGTCTCAGGAGCTCTCTCCACACACGAAAGAAAGCTTTTATACTTTTGTACCATTGAGCTTGCAGTGGGTGGGGTCTTGCTGATTTCTGAGATGTCCTCAAGGCATCTTCTTATTCCTGTACAAAGGACATGGTTTCTTTTTAATGGTACCAATCTCTTCAGCAACCACAGCTCTTTCACTCCAACTTTACATGTGTTTCTTTTCTGGCCAACACTTAAGATTTTCAAAATTTCCTGCTCTGCTTTTTGTACCTGTTCCTCACTACAAAACTGACTAAAAGTGGTCAGAATTACTCATGCTATATCCTGAACACTGGGCTGCCTTGAAATTTCCTCTACCAGATCAATGAGTTCATAGCCCTTAAACTCAGTCTTTAGCAAAGTTTCAGGACACAGGTAAAGTGTAATAAATTCTTCACCCAAATGTAACATGCATGACCTCTAGTCCACGTCTCAGTAGGGCACTCTTTCCCAACTAAAATCTCATGAGTCTGGTTTATTCTGTCTCATGATTTCAGAAGGTTCAGTGCATGGGTGGCTGGTGCCAAGATAGAAATGACCTGGTGGAAGGTATAGGAAGCTGCTCAACCCATGGCAAGCCAGAAAGCAGAGAGAGAAGGGAGGACAGGATGACAAGAATACACCCTTCCAACTCATACTCCCAGTGATCACCTCCTTCAACCAGGGCCCACCTCCTCACAGTAGTCAGCCATGAATTCATAAATGGATAGATCCACTGAAGGAGTATAGCACCCCCATGACCCAATCACCTCTCTAAAGCCCCACCTCAGGAGAATTTTGGGGGACATTATATATTGAAACCATAACACCATTCATCCAATCTAAGCTACATAACCTTAATTAAACACCAGTATCATTAGTCCCTCCTTAAAACTCAAGAATCCCCATTCTCTAGGTGGCAAAACTTCCTGGTTTAGTATGTAAACACTAGTAGACATAGGTATTTGGGGAAATGACTACAAATGGCAAAAGAAATAAGTAAAACTTAAAATTTTTAGTTGTGGGAAATAGGAAATAGGAAAAGGTGGGTAAAGGAATCTATTTGGTCATATAAACCTTCTAGTAATACGTGAGCTTTAAAATTACACATACGTATTACTTGGACACAAACAAGTACAATTTTAAAAGCACAAAAGGTGGGGGTGTGGCTCAGTGGTAGGGTACTTGTCTAGCATGCAGGCGTCCCTGAGTTCAGGCCCTAGCATCATGAAGAGAACAGAATAGAGTACTGAAGGAGAATATTTATCGACAAAATAATATGTTAAGTGCGACTCAGTTCAAAATACAAATATGCCTTTGCTCCTGCCGGATATTCCCATCCAGGTCATGTCCATCTTCCGGATTGTTCCACACCACCTTCTTGATGACTCTTTGGTCTTCCTCTTTTTACCACTGCCCCTGAGCTTGTACACCTTGTTGGTCATGCCTTTCTAGTGTTGCTCCTGCGCTGGTTGTGCTGGGCCATGGATCACCAGCCAGAACCAGAGCCAGGCCTGGTCCTCCCGGGCCACCCTGCCTCCTCTGTGCAGCCTCCCCGACCACCCAGAGGTCCCAGCAGGCTCTCAAAGGCAGCCCCTGCGCTGCTGCACCATTGTGGACTCTCAGGGCCTCTTGGGTTTTCTCTGCCATGCTTCCTGTCCTGCCACCTCACCCACCTGCCCTGTCCTGGTCCAGGACCGAAGAGGTAAGATTATCTTGGAACTTCTGCATGATATTTCAAAGGGCAGTGGAGAACAAAGGTGTAAGAATACATGTGCACTTCTAGTAAAAAGAGCATGGTTTAGAACTCAATTTTGGGTCAACCGCCCTTCACTCCACACCGTCAACAAAATAATTTCTTTGCCCTGTCACCAACTTTTTATTCACACCAGCAGCTTGTAGATGCACAGTTCAACTTCCACAGTGCAGACTTGTCTAGAGCTGTGTCATTACAGCAACTAACGTACAGAAATGTCAGTCCAGTACAGACCTCAACATCCCCAATATTTGGAGGAAGGAAGAGATTAAGTGATGAAAAAAACCTGCCTTGATAGTAAACAGCAGCGATTCCATTCACCCCACCAAGAGCCAACTGTAGTTAACCAGACAGAGCGTCTACCAGGTGAACAAAGATACTCAATGCCATCACTGTTTCATACACCCTGTGTACCAGAGATAGTCAGATGTGTTCCACCTTTTTGAGAAATACCATTTTTAGAACCTAGAGAAAGCACACTAACCAAGGCCAAAGGTAAGCTGAATCAGCAGGTACTGGAGTTATTTGAGACATGGCAGCAGAAGAGAGTGACTTAAAGAAGAAAGAACTCTGTCAGGCACAGCTGCAGAGGGAGATTCAGCTTCTGTTCCCACAAAGCAGACTTTTTCTGGTTGGGTCTTCTTAAATGGATTTGGTACCCGGAGTAACGATGGTGATTTATGCCTGGTTGTTAAAAAACAGCCATGTTTTCTTCAGGTAAATCAGAAGACTGAAGCACAGCACATACTCATGTTAGTCCACAAACACTTCTGTACTAGACTTTCTGGCTCCATTGAGAGACCTCAACTGATTCGAGAAAAGTGCCCACTGTGAAGTTCAAGGACAAAGTCAGTGGTGTGGAGTTTGACTTGAATGTAAACAATATTGTTGGAATAAGAAACACATTCCTTCTCAGAACTTACGAAAACCTTGAAAATCAAGTTCATCCATTAGTGCTGGTGATTAAAAAATGAGCAAATCACCGTGAGATAAATGACGCCACTCATGGTACTTTAAGCAGCTATAGCCTTGTATTGATGGTTTTGCACTATTTACAAACCCTAGCTGAACTCATACCTCCGCCCCTCCAAAAAATTTACCCAGAATCTTTTAGTCCTGCTATCCAGCTCACCTTGTACATCAAGCTCCATGTAGTATTCCTCCTCACCTCTCAGAGACTGGATCAAGTCCTAGGGACCTCCTACTGGGCTGTCTTAAATATTATGCTACAGAATTTGACTGGAACAGTCAAATGATTTTGGTTCTTAAAACCAAAGCCGTTCCAAGTCCTCATGGTATTGAGTGGAAAAATAAATACATCTGTGTAGAAGAAACTTTTGATGGAACAAATGCAGTCAGAGCCGTTCATGAAAAGCAGAAGGTTGACATGATCAAGGATCAATTTTTAAAGTCATTTAAATCAATCACTAAAGATTGAAAAACAAAAGGGATTTGAACACTATACCACCTTTAAGAACTGCTCTCCTGAAAAGATAACTGGCCTCTATTTCTTAAATTTTTCTGAGAAATAAAGAACAAGACTTACATCATTTAAAAAAATACAAACATGTACACACACAGAGACGCTTTTAAATGCTGTAACTGAGTGGTAGAGTCATACATTTTATGGCTTCTTTGAATCACTTCCTTCAAAGATTTGTACTGCCATTTTAACAAGAAATGTTATTCTTTTCACAAAATATTCCAAGCATCACTTACCTTGGCAGATTTCTCAATGTGTAAGCCTCCATCTAGTTTAAAAAGCACTGTCATGTTGTACCCAGTCTGGTCTCCATGTCCATGAGGCCACCAAGCTTCCACAGTTGTACTCTTTGAAGAAATGAGAGACGACACTCTAAATAATGAAGTGTATTTTCAGAAAAACAGTATGACTCAAAGCATTATATCAATTTCTCATATTATCAACCACAGAAAGCTGTACATTTTAAAAGAGCACAAATCTCCCTATCTGTATTATGCCAAATCATACCAACCCATTGATAATATCCCAAAATCAACATGCCCAGACTTGGCCCAGATTCAGACACCAAAGAGGAAGGCAAAGAACAGAACAGGACAGACATGCAGAAAAGCTTCTTTTAACTCCAAACTTGCATTGATTCTACATCCTAACACCTGGAAGAAGACTTTGAAGTTGGCTCTTCTTTCCAGCCAACCTAGAAATGATGTGAAGTTCTTATTTTATCAGGGCAGTTACTGAATGTTATCCACTCCCCTCTTTCTCAAAGGAATAGGAAAAGGGGGAAAGGGTTAGGGTTAGGAGTTAGAGCTAGGGACAGAGCTAGGGTTAGGGTAGGGGTTAGGGGTTAGGGTTAGGGACAGAGCTAGGGTTAGGGTTGGGGTTAGGGGTTAGGGTTAGGGACAGAGCTAGGGTTAGGGTTGGGATTAGGGGTTAGGGGTTAGGGTATAGGATTCTTGGTTTGGATTTAAGAACTATGATTAGGGGTTAGCACTTAGAGACTAGAGGCTACGGTTAGGATTAGGGCTAGGGGTTAAACAGAAATGGTGGAAATGTAAATCTACCTCATCTCTACCCATAAAGCTCATGAGTTTGGAATCTTAATACATGTAGAGAATGCACCTCCCATGAGACATGTTCCCTGAGCACCAAAGTGACCCTGTCTTAGTGGTCCTGCCACGGGGCGAGGCTGAGTTCCAGACTGCAACACAAGTTACCTGCCACCACACAACAGTGTTGCCTAGTATAGGTAGAGTTCCTGATAAGGACAGGACAGGAGCACACAATACAACTTTCCTTTAAGACCACTCCTGCTTCTCATCCTGCTTCTGCTGTTTTAATCAGTGCCCTAGAAAACCAACAGCTCATCGAGGAGGAGTTAGCAACTTCAGTGGTGCACTGTTCCCTAAGTCTTCCTGAAAAACAGCTCCTCACCAACCTAAACCTGTCCTAGCCAAGTCATTCTCTGGACTGTGATCCCCTCCCTGTCTAGAGGCAGCCATTTCCCTTACATTTCTGTAGGAAATTCAGGCAACAGCACCAATACTCAAAATAACTGACTAGTAGCAAAAATAATCACTGCATTTAAATATAATGCATAGAATGTATACTGGATTTAGGATACCGCAAGTACAACCAAAAAAAATAGAGTATTACCAACCTCTTGAAAGGAAAGGTTTCCAAATTAATCACATTTTCTCCATTTTCTTACACTTAACATTTGGGAAAATTATATTGGGCATGGTGATACACACCTGTAATCCCAGCACTCAGGAGGCTGAGGCAAGAGGATCACCATGAGTTTAAAGCAATCCTCAGGTACATAGTAAGTTCAAGGCCAGCCTTAACTATATAGTGAGACTATCTCAATCCCCGCTCAAAATTGGGAAAATCATTCCTTAGCTCAAACTCCCACGAACTATACCAGAAGTTAAAAATAGAAAAGAAAATGAAATGGACAAAGCAGCTTTTCTTTCATACCCAGTCCCTTCTTTCCCCTCTTTCTTTTGAACAGGTGTGACTTTCCTCCTTTATCTCAGGAATTCCTGGCACTCACCTTGTTAATTTTCACAGAGAGCTCCACAGTTCTCTCCCCAGGCTGGAGCTCAAGGCTGTATGTCTGCTGCATCTGCAGTTTAGGGATGGCTATGACCACCTGAGCACCAACTGGCTTTGAGCTGACAACGTCAAAAGTAGATTCTATTTCAACACTCCACACCTGGGCAGTGTTATCTAAAGCACAAAGAGAAAGAGGAAAATTATCCCTGCAGTCCTTGGAGTTTAATAGAGATAAGGCCTAAGCCACTTTTAAACCAGTGAGTACTCCACAATACAAATTCCTATGGAAATGTTCTCTTAATCTAGAAAATTTAAGCTTTATTCTAAACAGTAACCAAAATTACCTATTTTAAATAGACTCACACATGGGAAAGTAAGGAGTAAAGTTCACAAAGCACAAAGTCTTAGTTAACCAGTAATTTTCCTGATATTATGAGGCACTTGCTTTTTTACTTCTAACTGTGTAATCCCACCTCTGATCCAGGAGAGCCCATCTTATAAACCAGGACTCAAGTCTAGGTTACAACTTCCTATCAAGTATCTCCTGAAAACCCCACATCTCCATTTCCTACAGACCACCGGCCAGCCCTGACTCCCCAGAGGAGATGCAAGGGGATTCCAAAGGGTGACAATGAGTGATAACTTCAAAGGGAGAACTAGGGGAAAAGACAGAAAGGAAGTAGTATGGTGTTGTTGAAAATTCTCTAGAGTCCATCCTTTGCAGTGACACCAAGATAGCATCTTCTCCTCATCCTAACAGCCCAGGCCCAAAGGAGACCGGAACTCTGGACAGAAAGGAAGACAGATAAGATTTCCCCAGGGCAGCTCAGTGAGGAGGGAGAGAGGCAGGGAGGGAGGGACCATGTGTCTGACCTGGGTGAATATCAACAGAAAGAAACAGAATCCAAAATATGAGCTGTTTCTCCATGCAAAGGGTCAAAGAACCATTCAGACACCTCCAGTCTGGGTCCAAAATATGAGACCTGAAAATCTTTAAAGAATGCCAGCTATTATATTCCTATACAGCCTACTTCTTAGTGAAGATGAGCTGGAAAAAAAGAAAAATAAAACAAGCTTTATTCTACACCAAAAAAAGTACAAGAGCTATGGAAAGTCAATTAGAAAATTGGCTTGGCTGCATGGGTTCAGATGTTGCCTGACATTCCTTTTCTTCCTAAAGATGTGGGACTCTTGGAGTTAACATGAAAATGTGCAATGTGCACTTTAGATAATAAAAGAAATAGTTTACCTGAATACTACAGCTCAGCACAAATATCAGTAGAGTCTCTAAAAGTATTTTGCAGAAAGCCCAAATTAATTTCTAATTTTTTCCTAAATGACTACTGTCCTAGTTTGGAGAACCTGGATGGTTAACTGTGGGTACAGGTGGGCCCTTCTTTATCCCTAATGAAGCAACATGATTCCCTCCAACTTTCCAGGGAAACAAATACACACAGAGATCCCATTACCCCTTTCTACTGCTGAAACATCAGTCCGAGGGGCACATGTAGTTTACTAAAAATTAAGTTCACACTTGACATCTACCTCTTTTGGAGCGTTATGGCAGGCTGGGTAAAAGCTCCAGCCCTACTTTATTAATACTCAGGAAGCGGACATTCCACAGTTCAGACTGGAAGTTCAGTAACCACTACACTGGGTATTGGGTGCAGAGGTTCAGTCAGGTCTACTCCTCTTCCCCTGGCAGAATTCGCTCCTGGGTTCTCCACTTCATCCTTCGGCAGCTTTTTAGCTTTTGCCATGAATAATGTGTTCCCACTGATGTTTCCATGAATAATAAACTGCTGTCATCTGCCCAGAACTATGCTCTTAGGTACAGCTCTTTTATTTGCTAGATCAGCCTTGTTCCCCAATAAAGCTTTTCAGGCTTAGGACTTGCTTGCCTCTGAAGTTCTTGAACCCATCTCTTGCTCTTGCAAGCATTCCTCATTTGTAACATCATCTACAACTGTGGCATTGGTATCATTCTCATCTGGCTGTGCCCTCTATTTCAAACTGCATGGTTTTGTCATCAAGACACACAGTTGGGTTAGAAAAGCAGGCCCAGTACTCTCTTGAAATTGAGGAAATTGACCTTTCACAAAGCAAGCACTAGGTTTGACTTGCCAGTGTGACCTTCCCAAAAGTGCAAGTTTGGGCTGGCATCTCATTTTCGGTATGTGGCCTGTGGGGTTGTATTGTTCCTCTATCAGCCATGACCAGACTCCTAAGTGACTTTCCAGATGGAAGGTGTCAATCTTTTCTCTTCCTGGAAGTAAAGAAGTTGGAGACTGTACCACGCAGCATGCAGGGCACAGCTCCCTGGCAGCCAGGCACAGGCCTGAAGGGCAAAGGCGCTGTGGCTGCACCGCATCTCCTCCTCTCTGCTCCCCACACAGCAGCCTGTGACTGTGTTGTCTTCTAATTGTGGTAACAGAACGCTGAAAGCACAGTGTTTCCAGAATGTACTTACTGTGCCTTTCAGCTGTCTCCACAACCTTCTGAAATGTTCATTAAACTAGGCCCTCATCCCTCCCTAAGCAAAGGAGGCCCACTGTGAACAACTCACAGCTCTGGGGACAAGACAACCCATGAAAGAACAGAAGTCAGTCAGTCTCTCTCTTTCTCTGTTCCCCACCACCAGGCCTGCATTTTGCATGGATTACTTGCTTATCAATGTCCTCATCTTTGGAGCTGTGGCACCCACCCACTCCACCCACTCCCCACACTTCAGACCCCACGTCCAACCCCCCCCTCCATGGGACACTCAGTATTCCCACCCCATGCTCAGAAAACAGCAGCAGACACTGCTGTGTCCACCCCAGGAAAGAGCCCCTGAGCTCCCTTTTCCTAACGACTGAACACAGAGGGGTAAATTGTCTGTGTTATGGCTGAAGGCAGTAGGGGTTTCAGCCCATAATTGGCTGACTCCAAGGTAGGGTGGCACAGCAGATAGGCATCATAGAGGAGAAACCATTTGTTGCAGGCAGAAGGTAGCAAAGGATCTTAGCAGCTTTTTTCTGCCCCTTTTATATTCTATCTAGGCTACCAGGTCTAGACAGTGCCAAACAAATCAGTGGATGATTTAATAATCACACACCCTTAATCTTAGCACCCTTAACCCCAGCACTGCACCATGAATCAATCACACACTCTAGATTCAGCCACCTCTGAACAAGCCCTGCCTATGACCACATGAGGCTACGGACAGAGACATCTAGACACAAGCCATAACACATACATACTACATTATCTTATCCTATTATTTTTCAATAATAGGATATTATTGAAATAGGATATTATTGAATATTATTGAATAGGATATTATTCCTATTTATATAAATATCTAATAACTTCACCAGTAACTGCTGTCTTTCAGATAAAAACTGAAAGAAAAAAGAAATATTGAAAAAATAAAAGGCAGTTTTCTAATGCTTTCATAAAATTATAATTCTATTTTCTTCCTTATACCAAAAAAACCAAACTGATAGCTATAAAATTAATCAGAAATATGACAATTACTACTTAGAGTCCACAAAACACAGCTCCTGACCAGGAGATGTATTTTCTCTATGTCAAGTATATGATATCTTGTAATCATAAAACTGAAACTGTAGCTGATATGGGGGAAGTTGATTATACTGAACTCAAATTGGATTTTAAGCATCATGTAAACTGAACTAATTCCAGTAAAATTCACTTAGTTCTTAGAGATTAAACTCTATCTAAAAAAATCTATTCAGGAAGAAATGTTTCACTTAACAGTCAAATTTGTAAATTGACCAAGATGACAGAGTGGTAAGCAGCACAGAAAGAGCCTCTCTGAGTGTTGCCATCCAAATGCTGGAATATAACAATGTGAGGAAGACAAGAGGGAGAGAAATAGGTCTCCTGGACTCAGGATCTGAGTTGTGAATTGAAGCCCACGGAAAGAGCGAAGAGAAAAAACTTCAACAAAGAGGAAGGAGGTAACCAGCAGTGCCTTCTCACTGAGACGGAACTCACTGTGTGAGAGGAGTGGTTCAAACCTGCAGACATACAGTGACTGCTTATGACCCCAGAGGCCTCCACAGAGAGATGCAGCAGTGGAAGAAAGCAGTGGACATGAAGAATTGCACTACAGGGCAGAGAGTGCCAAGAGTTTAGTAGTCCCACCTGAGACAGCAATTGGCCAGGAGCCATCTTGGACAGGGGCCAACTGAGCTGAGAATGTAGACCAGCTGCTGGCTCTATCAAGCGGCTCCCAGCTGGGCTCAGGCTAGCAGAAGGTGTGCTGACGGCTGCAGGCCAAGTGAGTCTGGTCTTTGCCAGAAGGTGCAAGCTCATTGAGCTCATCCACTACTTCACTAAAAAGCTACTGCTGGCTTTCTGGGATGGATCGGCATGGATCAGGATTCTGTCTCCACACATTATCTACCAGAGACAGCAGAGACAAACCTGGAAGTGGACTTTTTTTCCTCCCTCTCTCATTTCTTTTTTATTTTGGTGGTTTTGTTTTTGTTCCTTTCTCCTTCACTGTTTGATCTTGTTTTTATATGACTGTGAATATGGTTTTTAGCCTGTTTATAGCTGTTGTTCTGTTCTGTCTTTTTTATCTCTTCCTCTTCTTTCCCTCCAGTCTTCTGTACCAGTTTCCCACAGTTGGCCTGATCCCCCTTTGTCCTCTAGCCTTACTTCTAATCTCTTCCTCCTCTCTACCTCTCTGTTTTTTCCCTAACCCTTTTAAATTTTAAGCCCTATGGGTAAAATTGAGGAAGGACTTATATACTGCATATAACTTTCTAGTCTGTTTAGATTTTGTTATATAATTACAAATCTAGTTCAAGGCGGCAAATTAATGGTTAGATAAGTTTGTCATTTTCTAGGCTGTGATTGTTGCTACTGTTATTGCTGCTGGTATCACTTTAGCCAAAAGTGACATAATTGTTCTAAGCAGCTATTCTTCCTCATATTCCAAGACTGAGATTGACTAAGGGTCATAGAACATACTGTGGCACAGTGCCAAAGAACTAGTAGCTGGGCTAAACAAGCAGCAACTTCTCATCCCCAACAAATTGAATATGTAGGATCTTGCAACAGACTCAAAACCCAAAAGTCAGTTACACCTCGGAGATACCCTGAAGAAGCAGTCATTTCCTAAGGGTTCTAAATACTAGCAATAAAGCAACCCACCATAG